GGGGTTCTATCTCAACCGTTGGGTCTGAATGCTGGCGTTCCCCAAGGTTCATCACTTGGGCCCACTCTCTTCCTTCTATTCGACAATGACATTTTTCCGAAACTGTCAACCCAATACATTCTTCTGCCGATGACAACACCCTCCGTTGCTACCGCTTTACCGCACTATTTTTATGCCAAAACCAACATTGACCATAACCAGAATGTAAATACTGTATCACTAGACTCTGAGTTCCAATAAATCTCCAAGGGCAACGAAAACCATTCAATGTTTTCGAACCCCCTCTTCTTCCAATTTCGCTCAAACACCTTTGATTCTTTCCCCCATTCCTATATACAAACTTATATTTTGATTCCACCCAACCGCGTCTCACAGACTCTGTTTCTGTTCTTGGGCTGCCCATTACTTTATGCTGGTGACTTTTTAGACCTTGTCTGGATTTTTGTGCTGCACGCAAGGCTGATTTTTTCCATTGTGAGAGATGCTTCTTTACCCCCAGAAGTTCTCCAAATGTACAAAGCTCAAATCCACCCTGATCTTGAAAACTGTAGTCACGTGTGGTTTCAGTTTCAGTTTCTACAACCATTAACTATGCACTATAGTGCGTCTGTTTCGTCTGCCCATTTGAATGAGCATGGAGAGAAAGATAGGTTGAAAGTAGGATAGAAGAGAAAATTTAAAATTTCATTGCACTAATTTTGCAGAGAAATCGACAACATGCACGAACGTCACTGTTTACGACACCCAGCCATTTCACTCACTGTCTCTAACCGCTCCACCGCAGCCCGTCTTCCCTGTATCTGTATCTTCCCCAGGCAGCCTTTGTATGGCCACAGCCCCCTTCCTGAAAGTTGACTGCACATCTGTATATCCAATAAATAGAAAAAGGAAGTAAAAAGACATTTATTTTATTATTTATTTAACCATCGGGTATGATTATCCCGAGGTCCACATCCAGGGAGCCTAACGGGACCTATGTGACCCAGACTCCTGGTTAAAGCTTCCATACCCTCATGCCAGGTCTTAGCTTGACCACTCTTCACTTTCTTCCACCAATTACCTACCTTCGCGAACATCGCTTGCCGTGGTAACCTACATGGTGACATGCGTAGCACATGCCCCAGCCCGCGTAATCTACGGAGATCAACCAATTTCTTTAGTGGGCGACCTCATTTACGTAAAACTCTGCTCCTAACCTCAGCATTCATTGCTCGTCCGGCTGT